GTGCTTAATAAATAAATGTGACTTGACTTAACTAATTTATAAATTCACCAATCCAATGTAATTTAAAATGTGATATTTGTAGTACCTGAGAAAATAAAAGAACTGTAAGTTAAAGACTTCTCTTTCACAAAACATATAAATAGCTAAAAATGTCAAAGACAAATTCTAAAATTAGGACCTCGAGCCATATCACATGACAATAAGATACTAAGAAAATAATTTTAACATAAACAAGTAAAAAAAAAAAAAAAAATCTAAGTACAAATCTTAAATAATCTAGCGCCTGTCTTCGACTGTCATTTCTTCTCTTCATGCTGATTGATTCAGGTTTAGCAGCATTTTTTCGGAGATGCCCGAGATGCCACTCCTAATCCAGTAACATCCCTGTAGGTTTCATTTACTCTTCAGAGCTGCCAACCAGGTGTGCCACTCACTCAGGTAAGACCTCAGAGTTCTTCTAAAAATACTTTTACCCCAAATGTTCAATGAAAAGTTGATCTGATATTGCTTTTAAAGTAAAACTTGAGGAATAATGAAAGGTTAAGTTTGTACAGACTGAAATAAAGATTTTATTTTTCTTCGTAACACAGCCTTAAGGCGCTTTTTTTTTAGGATAAAACCGACCTCTGGTTAAAAACAGGGGCATCCTGGGTAAACTCTCAATGATGTAAGTTAGTTTGTATTGCAGGTAAACTGTGTCTTTACAGCTAATGTTATTGAGAATGGGACAGAGTGTGGGATTAGGAAACTAAAGATGATGCTTCATGGGGATAAAATGTTTACTTTAAGTGTCTTCATTTATTTTAACATTTTTAAGTATCAAAGTGTGTGAAAATGATCGAGATCTCAGTGAGGATTTCATTTCTATGTGAATGTCAAATGAACTAGAAGTTAAAACACTTTTACACACGTTATGTATCCCTGCTCATGAGACTTGCCTCAGGCGATTCTTCTCAACAGGACTTCTTATTAATTAAATTCTCATATCAAGTATCAGTGCTGTTGTACTTGGACACTTTTTTTTTCACCAAATTAAACCTTAAACCTGCACATCAATTCAGAGAATTTCCAAGTTATGAGGAAGAGCTTTCTTTTATTCACCATATGCTGTATTTATTAAACATGGTACCTTGTTCTCTAAAGTAGAAAAAAATGGAAGGTGAACCAAACCGGTTCACCTAGTCACCAAACCGGTTCAGAAACAGATAAGGGCATGCCAGAGGGGGCCTCCTCTGCACCACAGACTAGATATGTTGAAGCAGGCAGCCACATACAACAACCAGCTGGTGGTTAATTTTTTTTAACCACTGTAATATTTGAGGTGGTACCTTGTTCCCTAAAGTAGGAAAACCTGAACTTTTAAATAAGAAAATGATAGCAGCAAGTGGAGTTTATATAAATAACAATACCATTATGCTCCTTTCTTCAAACAGTCACCTCTTCATTTAACACATTTGTTTATATGTAAATGTATCTCTCACTGCTTCAAAAGTTCTGTTAAACAAAGAGGATGAAGTGCAAATTATTTTGAACAATGGTGCTAAAATAATTATTCAGAATGTATTTAGCATCCTGGAAATGTCACGATTTATTAGTAGAAGGAAAACCCGGTTTACTGAGCTCCGATAATTTCCTGCACTATTAGGTCTTCTGGGGATAAAAAAAGAAGTTTTGTGACAGAAGAACGGGTCATCATGATTCATGTAACTGAACTTGAACAAAGCACTGGGAGGTTTATATAAAAGATTTTCAAGCTAATATGGCCGGTATTTTGTCGCAGTCACAACCCAGGCTCAGTGAGCTGGACAAACTGGGAGAACACACAGTCTTACTGTAGTCTTATTTAAGCAATAATTCTTTGAAAACTAAAGCAAAACATCCTCATAAAAGAATATGCCGTCTGTTAATCAGTGGTGTTTGCAATGGTGAATGTGTGTGGTGTTGTGGAGGCAAAAGAAAGACCACAAACCAAAGTTAGTGTTGACAGGAGAGAGAGATATGGGCCCTATCCAAAAAGCCACAGTTCAGTATGCAGTGCGTACTTTTCAGTCGACTGAACCCTTAAGGTAATTCAGTATGCATTTTTGGGTACGCCTCAGTATACTGAACATTTCAGCATGGATACTAACTTCCAGGTTTTGTGCAGTATGATTTGGATGCATCCAGAGACAGAGAAGCCAGCTTAAATAAATACTAAGGCCCAGTCTGCCCAGGAATACAATTAAGTGGCTCTGCCTTTTACTACCTGAAGGCAACCTGAGTGGGAAGGGATACAATGCAACAGGAGGAGCAATGACACAGTCAGGGGTCGTCACTAATGAAAATAGCAATATTATACATCAAATATGTTCTATCAAATCACATTAACAATTTAGTCAGACAACTCACGTTTGTATCGATCAAGTCATTTTTGCAGTAGAACATAGTTTGTGTTTTGGCGTCTAGGCTCCGACCAAATCACTCCTCAGTTTTAATTTACATGCAGAAATGATGGGATGGGATGGGATGATATCTTTACACCCCCAGACACAGCCTACAGGTGGATGCTGGGGTGGTGGTGGGGCTGAGGAAGCTTGCTATACTAGTGCAGGTCAGAGTAATAATATTGGGCCCAACACTAACCCCTGAGGGACACCACATGTAATACCCAAACAATCAGAGTCAAACCGAATCATGCAACTTAAATAGACAGCTAATTGGAAGGGTGTGTTGTCAGGTGATTGTGGATAATGATGCATGTCAAGTGTGAAACCAGTTCAGCTCGAGTTGACTGCCTGAACTAGCCTGCAGGCGTCCCTCTGATTTTATATTTAACGTATTACCTTATAGTTAACTGGTACTCCAATTCCTGCCAGATTTAACTTGAACATCTAATATGTTTGTGTTCACAGGTTTATTATCTGTGGTTTAATTTGTCCAACAAGAGATGGCAACACAACCCCTGGTGGAGTGGGAAACTGGTCTCTGTGACTGCTTTGAGGAAGTCAGCACCTGTAAGGATCAATTTTTATAACTTAAGTCAAATTTGGAGTTTCTTCAATTAAAGGTCATTTCTGATGGTATCAAACAGCATAATTGAGTTTGTATTGCTCTGCTTCAGGTTGCTATGGTTTCTGGTGCTTTCCTTGCCTTGCCTGCACTGTCTCAGGGAGATTTGGAGAGAACTATTGTCTCCCATTATGTGACATCTGCGGTCCCGCCATATTGTCAGCCTGTGGGATTCCTTTGTTTGCGCCTCCTGCAGGTCTGTCAATGAGGGTTGCAATGCGAAACAGATATGGTATCAAGGTATGATGCATGCAGAGCTGATGTCATCAGGATTTCATGCCACAAGTTGAGTAACAGTAAAGCAACATTGAATTTACACTGGTTCATATTTTGTCACCTTGTTTTTTTCCTGCAGGGTTCCATCTGTAAGGACATCGCAGTTGCTTGTTTCTGCGGATGTTGCTCCTGGTGTCAAATGCATCGAGAGCTAAAACATCGTAAAAAAACTCCCACTGTCGTCAATGTGCAGAATACAACCGTTTTTGCCACACAGCCTGCTCCAGTGATGATGATGCAGCCCCAAGGTTTTGTGACCCAGCCAGGTTTTGTGACCCAGCAAGGTGCTTTCGTTACTTCTAGATGATCTTTAGGGCGTGCCATGTGTCAGTTTGTGTACTGAGTAAAAATGCTTTTGATCACGAGACAATGATTTGAATAATAATAATAATAAAGTACTATTTGAGTCTATCAACTCTCAAGTTTCTCAATAAATTTCTAAATGCTTTGAATTTCCCTCGGGATCTATAAAGTATCTATCTATTTATCTATAAGACAATAAGCCTTTCAGAGCAACACAAAGATTGGCATCAATTAAATCTCATGAGATGAAATAAGTTTAATATCCAGTTTTATAAATGGATAAAAAAAAAACTCTGCTTAACTTGGGTTGTAAAAAAAAGGCAAAAAAAATAAATAGTAATGACATTTTGAAAAACAACCAAAATTTTGAAGGTGTTCGCCCATACAGTTATCTCATAAGAAAAATAAGAAAATAACAACCTAATAAAAGGACCACATTATCTTTTTAATGTTTTATAGGTAACCTGGCTTGGCATTTTTTAAGTTTAGTTCTTATTTTGATGAAGTTTAATTCCCCCGTCCACTAACAGGAAACAGTTGTTTAACATGACTTTACAAGAGAAGCTCGTTCATCAAGTGCTCACATTAAATTCATGAAACACATAGCTTAAGGGAACTGATACCAGGCTGGGAAGCTGTTGTCCTGGCAAACGTTAAGTCATTCAATGTAGAAGTTGAGTTCAAGTCGATGTCACTTGCTTTCCCTCCAGACTAACCAGTTTGTCAAGAATGTTGTGGAGACTAAAGACTTTGGATTAGGGCCACGCTAAAAAACATTTTTAAGAGAATAATCTTGTAAATTAACGAGTTCGAGACCAGCCTGCATACGCAAAATGATGAAAGTAGAACTCTTAAAGTATTTTCCTCTGCAGACAACTTCCTCCAAGTCAGTGTGGCTCTTACTTCAGTTTCTTTCAGTATCTTTTCAGGGTGCTGATATTTTAAGACAATGTGAAGATGATGATGTGCCAACAGCATGTGTAGTTTCATATCTGTGTAAGCAACACAACTATTTGTGTCTGTTATCGGTCTGCCTTGTTGAAATGTCTCATGTGCAGAGCCAGTTTGTGTCCTGTTCATCATTTTACAGATAAACAAAGTCTTGCAAGTTGAAGTGAAAACTTCTCTTGAACTGTTTTTACCGACTACACAAGGAAGTAGCCTATTTCCTTATTAGTGAAACCTTTAGGACAAGATGCTCCATGTTTGTCCAGGTTTAGTTTAATCTCGTAAATGTACGACTTTAATCTCTAAATTTAAATTTTGAGGTCTTTGATGTGAAGTAAGAGCGCTCTGGGTGTTTCTTGTCGTTTTTCATGTTATATATTTGTGTTCTTTTTAAAAGCACTGACAGAAATTACAATCAATTTGTAAACATTCAGTTTGTAGATTTTATCTCTTTAATTGATTTCTGGTCATTTCAGTTTCTCTGATTAAGCACTTCAGTAAAAAAATCCTTCTGTTTTAAATCTGGAATTTATTTTTTTGTCAATAAAAAACAACAAATCCACGATGGTCCATGTTGTAACCATTTACACTTATATTTAATGTAGAACAGCATGCACTGCTCTCTGCAAAGACAGACATACATGCTTGCCTTGCCGGTGTCTCTTTTTCAAGAACAAAGTGAGTCTTCTGGTGTTTCCAAAGTTCAGGATTTTTGGAGACCTGTGTTTTTACAGTTCTTGTGTTTTCTTTCCTGTTAAAAACTGTTTGGTGAAAGGTGAGCCGTTCACCACAACGATGAAGCTCGGAGTTCCTCCTTTGACAAAAAACCTGTTGACCAAAAACAAAAACAACAAGCAAGATGTGAAAGAAGGATGTCCATGAGTGTCAAAGAAGTACGTTAAAGGAAACTTAGACAGCAAGGCGCCAACGAGGGAACTTCCCAGGTGATCCATTTCCTTATTGGTTCAAATGAAATTCCAAACAGACTAATCTAAAGGTAGGAAAACACTCAGACACAGCGACAAAAGAGCACAATACATTCAAAATTCTCAGCAGGTAAACAATGCTAACAACAATGATAAACATTAGCAGCCCTGACTTTAACTCCATGACTGTACCTTTTATGCTGCAGCACTTTCAAAAGCGACGTCTGTGGGTTGACTTGGTAGAGTGTCTCCGTCTTTTCATCTTCAAAGTACAGCTGGAAAGAGTCAAATATAGATGATTAGGATTGAAAATCAAGTACTTATTATTTTAATCATCAGGAAAACTGTCCTGTGTTTGGTAGTGAAATAAAACATTTGACTCTTACTGATATTCTTTTATGAATTCAGCATGTTCCCCTGCTATCGTTTGTAAGGAAAAGATGATTCCACAAATTTCATGGTTCAGAACTGAAGAGTGAAAAATTACACCTTCTGTTGACATCTCTAGGATGATGCTGTGTAAATGTCTTAACACTTTAATTCATGTCATGTCTTGCAGTATTTACGATGAGGGACCAATCAAATTAAGGCAGAACACACAAACCTGAAGGTTTTGCGGGTGGTATTTTCTGTCCGCATCCCAAGGTGGAAGTTCCTCTCCAAACATGACCGCGATGTGATCCATAAAACTGGAGCAAGAGAGAAAAAAGGTGATTGTTAAAACAAGTAACGCATACATGAAGATTTTGTCAGATGAAAGAGAGAGATGAGAACTTCTGAAATAGGCTGATTGGCTGTAAAAGATCTGACTACATGTTGGTGACAATAGGCACAGAAATGCAAACAAACAAGATGAATTGAGGTAAAAAGAAGACGAGCAGTTTACCAGCTGTTCTCACAGAAGGCAGAGATGAAGTCACTCTGCTGGTGTTCTGGATAGAGGAAGAGAACGGGCCAGTGCAGGGAGCCCTTCTCATCCAGGAACACCTGAGCCCCCATCACCTCCTGAGAGCTGAGGCCGTCCACACTGAGCTGTGCTATCGCTGCAGAGGAGCCTTCGTCCTCGTCCTCACTGTCTGAAGCACGCTGACGAGGCTTCACCGGCTGCAGGAGCTTAATGCCACGACCCTGCATGAAGCACGGAAAATATATCTGATAAGTGCTCCAAGAATAATATGGATTCACGCTGAAGACGACAGAAATTATGAAATATTAAGTTAAGAGTCAGATTTGACAGAGTGCTGAAGTTATGACGGAGTTAAAGAGTGAGGACACCAGTCTGTCAGGCTGCAGCCATATTAAGAGAAGTCTTAAGTCTGGCTCACACTGTGCCATTTTTCCCCGATTGTTCAAAAGTCGGGGTGGCATGTCAGCTCACACTGTACGACTGAATCGTTTACGACGCCCGACCAGATCTTGACAAGGTCTGGTCGGGACAATTGTCTGGACAATTGTTAATAAAGTTTCATTTTAAAAAAACAAAGGACGACGGTTGGTGAAAGAGAAGGAAGTGGAAGTTGTTGTAGGATATAGAAAAGGTGATACAATCGTAGATATATGGAGACAAGTTTCAGAAAAGTGCTGCACTGATGATCTGTACTGAAAAGTTAAAAAAACAAAAAACGCTGGGTTGCGTCCTGCCGCTGGTCGCCATGACGACAGTCCTCCCTTGTCTCTGGTGATTATACTGTAGTCACACACAACTTCTGCCGGACCCTTTCATGACGTAATCGTCAGGATTTTAAATTCTAAATATCAAACATGTTTGAAATAAATCCGACGATCGCCGGGCAGATCGGGGACGTTAAGATTGGATCTTTGGACCGCTCACACTACGAGATGATCTGAACAGAGAATCGGGTCTGAGCAGCCTCGAGTCGGGAGCGACGCTGCGATTGTCGGGAAGAAAGAAGAATCGGAGCTCAAATCGGCCCGATGATCCTGCAGAGTGAGCCGGGCTTTAGTGGGAAAGTCCAACTTAATCTGTTCCTCACTTTTTATAATTCTTACCGTTATAGCAGCCAGAAGAGTTTCTTTCACACCGTGCAACTTCTTTTCTTTGGCCTTGGCCTTCCTGGCATCTCTTTCTGCTGCTCTCTAAAGCACAGAAAACAAAACAAGCTTTATGCTTTCAGAATAAATAAAAAAAACATCAGCCCCTAAAATCAGCTGAACCAATGAGTGATTGCACCTTGTGTTTATCTGCTTCTGCTCTCAGCTCCAGAAGCTTCTTGTCTGTGGGATGGGCCTTAAGCCCCTCATCACACCACTGGAGCGCCTCTGCAAAGTTTCGCAGCTTGATACAACACTGAACACCTGCAGAGACATGACATTTGCTTTTCTGATAATTTGGTATTGTACACATGAAAACTATCTTTGTCATTTATAGGACGAGTTCTGTTGCAGGCTTCAAGATGCTACAAACACTCATTGTTTTCTGATTACGTTTACTGTAAAGTCTTCATTATTGTTTGTTAACTGTCTGTTATATTCATGTGTCTGGGGCATGTTTTAAATGTGCAATATAAATACTGATTTTTTACTTATTTACATTTAAAGTTTTTAGATTTAAGTGTACATTTTAAATGACCCAAATGTTTTCTCATACTCATGATTCTTTGTTTTGTTATTTGCCAAACACGTTTTTCTTAATGCTCCAAATCAATTGAAATTGCCTGTATGAGAAAGCTTCCATAGAAATACAGGCTGTTTGTTTTCATACCTCTGATCAAAGCTTTAAGATGATCTGGTTTGATCTTCTTCGCAGCTGTAGCATCATTGAATGCAGATCGCATGTTACCTGAAAGACGACGGGAGAAACGTGAACAACACATGTGGAGGCTTTTAAATGGAGAGATATAAATAATAATAAACTCTGTGATTTTATTATTTCCAAGCCATTTAATTCAAACATATTTAATGTTATGATGTGAAAAGCAGTAGTGTAATGTCTGTGACCTCCTCACCCAGGTAGAAGTGTGCTGCTGCCCGGTTGGTGAGGAGAACTGCGTCGAGCTCCTGATCGCCGCTTTTCTTCTTCAAACCCGCCGTGTAGGACACGATCGCCTTTGCGTAGTTCTTCTCCTTGAAAAACTCGTTTCCCTCATCTTTCATGCTCTCTGCTTGCTCTGCAGAGGAATGAGGGATAAATAGATTTAATCAATCACAATTTGTTATCACATACAGAGGTGTCAAGTAACGAAGTACAAATACTTGGTTACCTTAAGTAGAAATTTTGTGTATCTATACTTTACTGGAGTAATTATTTTTCAGCCGACTTTTTACTTCTACTCCTTACATTTTAAAAATCACCTCGTTACTCCTATTTCATTCCGGATTGTCATCGTTCAAAAAAACAAAACAAAACAAAAAAAAAACCTATCCAGATAAATCGCGCCATCCGGATAGAGTGAATTTGATTGTGATTGGATGAGAAGTATAAACATATATCATTCCAAATGTTTCAACATTAACATTTTAATATAACATTAAAGTCATTATGGCCTTTAGAAAAATGTTTCTTTGGGGAGGTGCTGTAGAGCACTATAGACCCCTGTGGCCTTTCGGGGACTTTAGCTTTTAAGCTTTTGTCCTTAATGACATTTTTCCCCCTTACATTCCTTTTACTTTTATACTTGAAGTAGTTTTGAAACCAGAACGTTTACACTTTGAGTAAAAAGCTTGAGTTGATACTTCAACTTCTACAGAAGTCTTTTTAAACCCTAGTATCTATACTTCTACCTGAGTAATGAATGTGAATACTTTTGACACCTCTGTGCACATATAGAGCTGTTACCTCATACGATAATGTTACATTGTTGATCAAAGGGGTCAAATAATAATAATAATATTAATAATAATTATAATAATATTAATAGTTATATTAATAATTATTATTATTATTATTATTATTATTAACAATAATAATAAGAATAATATTAATAGTTATATTAATAATAATAATTACAATAATAATAATAATATTAATAGTAATAATAATAATTATAATTATAACAATAATAACAATAATAATAATAATAATAATAATAGTTATATTAATAATAATAATTACAATAATAATATTAATATTAATAGTAATAATAATAATTATAATAATAATAATAATAATAATAATAATAATATAATTTCTGATACTAAAAGCTGTTGTCCACCTACCAGCTGGGGGTCTGTCTTCATCGTGGATGATGGCCTGAAGACAGGCTAGTTCAGGGTATTGTTGAGGGTCAATCTCTTCAGGGGCAGTTTTCATGAACATGGGAACTTTATTAAACTCCTGGATGAACAAACAAACACAGGTCAGAAAAAGCCCCTGAAGTTTCAGTCAGGTCAACCTGTTAGCTCACTTTCACAGAGACACACGTGATTATTGTCTCAGGTAGATAAACAAAAAGGGTCTCACGTCTTCCCAGTTCTTCTCGCTGAAAGCATTTTTATACCTCTGACTCTTGAATTTGTCCATCAGCTCCTCCATGCCGTCGTCGCTGTCGTGTTGAACCTCTGATGACGCCATTTTTATTCTTTAATATTTACACACAAGCTCCTTTTTTAATAAATACAAAATATTATTAACCTATGACTGGACGGTAACACAACACTGAAGATGTTATAGAGTTACACTTCCTAGAAAATGCCCAGCTCCTTGTTTACGTTTACACATGTGCATGAGCGGTTCTACGTCATAAAAGATCCGTGCTGAAACACAGCGCTGATACAATAGTTCCGCCCCCGGCTGTAACGAACAGACAGAGGATACAACATTTATAATCAAATAATTGACATCTAAAATCACCCATGTATTAAGATTTATTATATTTTTTGCTTAGCTACAATAACCTTACAATAGATGTAATGTTTATTACACCACCTTTATTATCTAGCAGTGTTGGAGAGAACACTAAATTAATGAATGAGTTAAGACGGGAGATCATTTATTTCCTTTATTATAAAGGTAAAATAAAACTAAATGATAGGACGTACATCTGAATTAATATACATTTTCCATAAAATTGACATTTTTTATTGGACATTTACTTGTAATACATTGTTTTTATATTATTTTGATTAATTATTGTATTAATAATTATTATTATAATAATTAATTATTATTATCAATTATTATTATTTATTTATTTTATTAATTAATTATTATTATTTATTTATTATTTTCATATTATATATTCTATAAGCACTTCTTCATATTTTACAGTTATATAAATTATTAAGAACATAAGATGCATATTCCTAAATTAATGAACCTGATTGTATTTTAGTATAATGGAATTGCTTTCATTTGAATAAATACACTTTTCCTGTAAAAGGCTGAACTGTGTTTATTTTTTTACTTGACATGAAGGTAATAATAATTTATTTTGTGGTATTATTACTTTTATTTGTATAGAGAACCTGATTACTGCTGTCATTGTATAAATGTAAAGTGTATCATGGCTGTATCTACAGGATTTAATGTTATGTGAACAAACATTAAGTTTTACAAAGATGGAACTAGTGTTTAATAATCGCAAATAAACAAAAGGACATAAAAACAAACAAAAGAATATGAACATAGTCAGACGTTTCTGTTCACTGGTGTGAGATCATGTTTCTTTATTATCACAGGAACATAAAAAAAAGGGAAAATTTGACTTTATGGTTTATAAAAACATGGTAAAGAAAAGTGATCTAATCAATACATCATGGCTTCTATCTTTGGGGGGCGTAAGACAAAACTTAAAAGTAAAAAAAACTTCACATAAAAGGCCTTATTCTTCCTGCCCCTCCCCCTCACTTATTGAATATTTTACATTTTTCCTTTTACAAAGAATGCAAAAACATTTAATACCCCATCCACAGTTTTTAATCACACAGTTTCCACTCGTCCCAGGAGATCTAACAGTCCATCTTTACTGAGAAACATCGTCTCACCTGTCTGCTGACAGATCACCTCATACCTGGAGGTTTCCTCCACAGCTGCCTGTCCCACCACAACAACATACGGGTAGCCTAGTCTGCTGGCATCCTTCAGCCTCTTCCGATGGTCATCTGTGTGCGGTCGTCGAGGACTACTTCACCTCTCAAACGAGGCAGAGTCTCTCCCAAAGTGTGGACTAGTTCCTCGCTAAGATCGAAGCCTCGTTGACCTTACTGCCTTTTTTGGGGGGTAAAACACACACCTGGTACGGGGCGATGAGGCCTGGCCAACGGATCGCGTCTTCTGTTGACATCACCTCAATGGCGGCCGCTAGAATACGGGTCACCCCAAGACCATAGCATCCCATCTCTGCGACACAAGGCTTGTTCTGTGCATTGCTAAAGGTGGCGTTGAAAACATCAGAGTACTTTTTACCTAGGTAAAAGGTATGGCCGACCTCGATCCCCTTTGACTCCACCAGTGTGCCAGTTTTGCACTGCGGGCACTCCGTTCTGTCTGAAGCCAGGGTCTCCACATTAGCAGAGAAGGAGCAGCTCCCACAGACCAGCAGCCTGTCCTCTCCGATGTCCGCCGGCAGCTGGAACTCGTGGGAGAGCTTACCCCCGATGTTACCCGTGTCCGCCTGCACCTGAACACACCGCAGACCCAGCCGGGTGAAGAGCCTGGCATACGCCGCGCACACAGATTCATAAGTCTCAAAAGCTGCTTCCTCACTCGAGTCGAACGAGTACATGTCCTTCATGTAAAACTCGCGCCCTCGGAGCAGACCGAACTTCGGCTTCGGTTCGTCCCTGAACTTCCGAGTGATCTGTTTTTTGTTTTTTTTTTAAAACAAGAAATCAAAATATAATAACTGCATCTTATAACGAGTCAAGTAGTTGCATAAGAGTAAAGGCTACCTGGTAGAGAAGTAGAGGGAGCTGTCGGTAGGAGAGAGTCGTCTGGTGGGCCACCAGAGTGGTCACTGCCTCCTCGTGTGTCGGGGCCAGGCAGTAGTCGGCTCCATGGCGATCTTTCAGACGGAGCAGCTCCTTTCCCATCAGATCCCAGCGCTCACTGGTTTTCCAGAGATCAGCTGAGCACAGACTGGGCATGTCCAGCTTCTGTCCACCTATGCCCTGCATCTCCTGGTCAATGATTCTTACCTGTTGGTTTAAGACAGCAGTTGGGACATTTTTTAATAATCAAAATAAGGAAAGTTACATTAAAACTTTTTTTTATCAGGTTCATTACTCTCGTGATCTACTTCTATGGGGTAGTGATTTTCCAGAAAGTTGTTCCAAAAATAAATCTTAATTGACTAAGAAAGTAAAAAGGATAAAACATCCTGCAAAACAAAAAATACTAAATTTAGTTAGGATGAACAGTATATGATTTGTTTTGATTAATTTATTTTGGTGTCATGCATACAAAGTGCCAATCCTCATGGGCTTATAAGACACCAAAGAATTCAGTTGCAGTGGTTTACATTTACAAATCATAACATTACAAAGTTACCAGCTCCTGTCACAGTTCAGTCTAAAACAACGTGTTCTGTATTTCTTCCGCAGGCTTTAAAAACAAAATCTGCTATAACAAACATTCCTTTTTTAGAACACAACTCATGTTTTTCATCGTCTAGCCAAAAGAAATCAACATGAATTGAAGACATTCTTTTAAAAAGAACATCCCTGATGTCAGCGTACATCGGGCAGTAAAACAAAAAGTCGTTTTCAGTTTCTCCTAACTCACACAACAAACAAACTCGGTCTTCCTCTGGCATGGCATTAAACCTGCCGGTCTCTACAGCTAAAGGCAATGTTCCTGAACGTAGCTGAGCGCAGAGGGATCTTTGTCTTTCGGTTAAATTAAATTTAGCATAGGCTTCTACACTGTAGCAATCCTTTATGAGACAATACGTTCTTAGTTTTGGTTTGCACATTATATCCACAGACTATTTCTCTTTGTACATTAGAAACATATTATTTTTTATCTCCTGAATATCACAAGTTAACTTATTTAGAAAAATAAAGGACATATTATTCTTGTGGAAAACAGATTTTATCACCTTTGCCCATGTATATTGATATCTGCTATATTCATGTTTTTGTCATATATTGTACTTTATTATAAAATTATTAAACAAAGCAGTTACCAGCTTCTCCATGGAGCGCACAGTGGCAGGAAGGTAGTAATAACACCCGGGGTTGGATGGATGGATAAGCCCAGCCTGCTGCATGAGCCTCTGGCTCTTACACGTCATCTCTCCCTGTAGACGCGTGTCCGCCCCCACATCACGCAGGTTTGCAGGCTGGTAGAGGCGAGACACCAGGAGTCCGGGCTTATGGATGTGTCTGGAGCTGGTGGAGGCCGGGTCGGTGACGTGTTCAGCAGCGCAGCCCGAGTGGCCCCTCCTGTGAAGGAATGAAGTTCTGTGGAGGCGCTGGACGACTTTGGGCCAGATCTGATGCAGCGTGGGCTCCATGGTAGATTCAGACCTGCTGAACAAGACAAAATAGTAATTTATAATAATAATAATAATAATAATACAATGAGCTGAAACAATTCAATTACAAAGTTTTCAAGCTTTTAATGAATATGTGTGAGAGTCATGCATCCAATTAAAACCGACCTCATCTGGCTTGCAGAAATTATCTGATTTCTTAATTATAATACATCTATGAATAAAAAGTAAAATAAAAAAAGAAGAAAAACACATCAGTTGATGAATGGTTTGCAGAACTGAGAATATTCGGGCACATTAAGCTAAAATGTTTCATTAAATATGTCCCACTTTATACACCTTTAACACTGAATATGTATATTGAGTACTTTACATATTAATGATATTAATACTTAGGAACAAACTGAGACTGTGGAAGTCTTTGGATTCAGAGACTCTGAAGCAGTCGCCCTGCAAGACACTGTGCAACTTCAACTGCAAACCTGTCAGTGCTACTCATTTATTTTCTGCTTCGTTTACAGTGAAATACGAATCTCGTCTTATTTATGTATAAAAATACTTTTAATATACCTTTAAATAATTTTCTGTGATATTTCTGATGTCTTCTTTGTTTAGTTTATTTTCAGTATTGTTCTTATTTTTTGTTTCCTCTCAAAATTCAAAAACTCAATAAATAAATAAATAAAAATAAATAAATAAAAATAATAAATAATAAAAATGGATGGACGCGTCATGCAGGTAATAAACAGGTAAATTCAAGGTCGTCACAAGTTACACAATTAATAGCCTAATTAATTCTTGGTATCCGCTCCACAGAAACATTAACAGATTTATGTTTCCTCTGTTGTTTTAAATATAAATATAAAGTGTCCACACACCTGTGACAGCACAAATACATGACACACAAACCCTTCTGACTGACAGGTCAGCTGTTAGCTTTGGTTAGCTCTGTTAGTTAGCACACAATGACGTCAGTACGTGTGCAAAAGCAAAACTCACCATGAGACGGGACTTATATCTGAATGTTTCGAGCTTATTAACAGAGAAAATTAGCAAAGGAAGCATTTCTATGAAGTTGTCAAACTACAAAACACTGAAGGTCTCAGCTCCATGCTTCTGTCTTCCTTAGCCTCAAACCTGGAGGCTGATGTTGGAATGCGACACCGCCACCTGCCGGTTGGGAGGAGTACTGCGGTCTTTAGTGGCAGTACGGGTGACAAGCAAAAACTTTTGCAAATTTTTTTATCTTTTTGATAAATATAAAATATTTGATTATTTGATAAAATTATAAATATTTATTTTTATTTTTTTATCCTTTGCTAAATATAAATAAATATGTGTAACTCTTCACAAAAATCTCTGACAGCAACACTTCCTCAGCCTGAGCACTGTATGCTGAATAAAAAACACTACTCAATATTTTTACTTAATTCGTTTTACTTATTTTAACTTTTCTTATTTGGAAGGAACAGGAACACTGGCTTTGACACTCATAAGAAAACAAAAGGCTGAATATTTCCCTTACATACGGTGGCCCTGAAGTGCAAAACACAATGACAAATCAAAAAACACACACAACACAAATTACAAAATACAACGACAAATAAGAAAACACAATGACATTAACTTTAGCTGTGTTTTCTTATTTGTTGTTGTGTTTTGCACTTCAGGGCCACCGTACTAATACTCTTTTTTTCTTACACATATTTATCTCATTATAATGTCTCTCTCTGGTGATTTAGCAGTTTCTGCACTTATAATCAAACAGACTTTGGACTTAGTTTAAAATAACACACTTAACAACAATATTTTAAAATGTGATAGTAACACTGAATACTGAATTAATTAAGTTCAAAGTAAAATAAATGAATTCCACCATCATGTTCTGTGCAATTTAGATTTTGACTTTAAGGTTCTGACAACAGGAAGCATTTACTTTTAAAGGGAAAGAAAGAGGCGATGAAGGACATAAAGATGGAAATTAAATGACCTGCGAACACATTTAATGAGTCATTCAATGTCAGCAACGCTTCACTTCCTCAAAGAGTCATGATATATATTTACGTACTAGGGATGTAAAATTACGTAACCATATTTGCTTTGTGTCAGTGGAAATATTCTTCCTTTTTTCCCACGGGAAAGAAGCACACATGTCCAATGATATTGAAACAAAAGAAGCATGAAGTCTGTTTTCAATGTTGCTATCAGTATTCCAACATCAGCAAATGGTTACCTCCCACCCAAACTGTAAACAGGATGTGACAGATATTTTTTCATTTAACTTTTATTAACATTACTTAGAGGTAAACCCTCATCTACAAAGACTTAAAACACAATTTTAATCAAACAAATAAAAAATAAACTATTGGCAGTGAGAAGGCAAAACCTCAAATAGTTTATAAAAGTAGTTAAAAATTAAAAAGATAATTTGATAAATAAATGGAGATAATTCAAATCTCAAATAGGATAAAATTATGTTAAAAGTGACAGGAGTGACTGGGAGGTTTAAAGGCTTTATATGTGATTTTTTGATCCAGCAGATGTCGCCCTTGAGCACCAGCATGAAACCAAAACAACTCGCGCTGCATGTTGTGTTAGCATGCTAATGCTAGCGATCTTTACTATGCTGGTATCTTCACACTGCATGTAAATTTACCTGAAATGAGCGTGATCTAGAAACACAGTTAAGCAGTGAGTACAGTATGTTATTCTTCTTTTCTCTAGTCCCTCAATTAAACAACTTTTATACACGAGGGGAGGAGTCAGCCGGCCGTCCCGGCGATGTAAACAAAGTGAAGATAGGACTCTGAAAACATCACAGACAGTGGGACTCGGGTGTTACACCCATTGTAGACAGTCATGACTCACAGAGTTATTTTCAGAGGATATACTTGATTTATATTATATTTAAGTGTAAAAAATCACATAGAAAGACTTTAATTACAGTGTCAGAAAATGTTTTTCTTTCACACATTACTTAAACTCTGTTTAGAGTCTAGCTGACAACCAAAACTCCTAAGCATCGACTCAAAACACTGTTTGTGCTTTAGGACAAAGAATTATGTTTTTTTTTTTTTAAATGTCCAAAATCCTAAAATAACAGCCGCATACATACCTCCTTCTGATAAGAAACCAAAGCATGCATGGCAGCAATTCAGCTTTTCAAAAACTGTGCCCTGTTAAATAAATCGTAGATGCAACCAACAAGTATCAGACATTTATATTTGTGAAAAAAAACTTTGAAAAAAAGACACAGACACAAATCATTTTATAGGAGACAGAGATGGAGAAATATTATGTATAAAACAGGAAACACATCACTTTGAAATTCTACATAAAAAGTCTGAATCAGTAATGACATGTTTGATAGTTTTCTGTCTATTGATGAGTTTTTATTGAACACGCTGTAATCTAAGTGTTCTGTTGACAGGACGCTGCAGTCTGTGTTAATGCACTTTTACTGTCTTTAAAGGATTTTATGTTTTTTATGTCTGCAATTTGAATCCATTATTCCCTCAGTCAGTCAATGACACACGCACACACACACACACACACACACACACACACACACACACACATACACCTGACAGTAAGTTCACATGGCAAACACAGCTGTCTCTGTGTCTCCTCTTTCAGGTGGACACTGTGGAGGACACACACACACACACACACACACACACACACACACACACACACACACACACACACTCCACATTGATGTATTCCTGAGCCGATTAGGTGTGTGTCTGTTTCTTAAATCTGTCTTGTGTCTCTTGTTCTAAGAGTCTTTCCACGGGGAAATGGGCGACTGAATGTCTCGTACAGAAACAAACAATCCCATTAGGAGAGTCGTTATCTGTAAACATCACATTTACCTGTTCGGCTTTAAACTGAATTTAAGGGTTGATATCTTTTTTTTGCCTTCACAAAGAGTCAGCCAAAGGTTTCCAGGAGCAGAAATAAAAAATATGTCCCTTTTTATGCTGTCCTGAATTCATTGAGTGTGGAAGTATATAATGAGATGGGAAATTCGATCTGCACCTTTAAGAAAAAGCTAAAGACCCAGCTCTTTCATGAATACCTACTGACTTAATGATGATGGTCTCCATATTATTGATGATGATGATGGTAATGACGATGGTTTTTGTTTGATAACGACGACTTATAAGATGGTTTCTATACTGATTAGAGCTCTCAAGAACTGCCCTCAATGTTGTGCTTTGCCTCTGGTCACTTCCTGTCAGCACCTGTGTGTCCAATCAGACTCAAAGCTGATCGTTTGCTCTTACTCACATCGTTCCCTTTTTTCTAGATCCTTGCTTGTGTTGTTCTTACTCTCTGATGTACGTCACTTTGGATGAAAGCGTCTGCTAAGTGAATTGTAGAATTGGGAAAAGCAGAGGAGCTCTGACTAACAACGTGCGATCAGGCTGAAACTCGGCCTGACTTCAAATTAGTTGTATGACTAAAAATCGGGTCTAAATCATCCTGAAATTGTACAGTCTACACCCGGCTTGAGAAGCTATAGCGTTAAAACCTTCCGGGTAAAGTCGGGGGGAAAAACGTGTCCTTTATTGTTCACACATGCAGCTCTCAACAAAAATATGAGTTTTTTTTGTTTTTCATGTGAAAACATCAAAGCAAACCCCCCGACATCTTGTCAGGGTCTCTCTTTTTATTACATATGTATATATATTTTATTATTGGGCCATTTTTGCCTTTATTGGATAGGACAGCTGAAGAGAGACAGGAAACGTTGGGAGGAGAGAGTGGGGGGATGACATGCAGTAAAAGGCCGAGGTCAGATTCTAACCCACGGCCGCTGGGACGAGGACCATAGCCTCTGTACATTGGGCGTAAAGAGTAATCACTAGGCTACAGCCGCCACGTCATGGACTCATTTTAAAGGACTCACACAGAAGAAACTAAATCTGTAATTCCAAACAAACATTTTAAATGTTAACTTGAACTCCGGTCTGTTTGTGTTTGATGAAGAAAATCCTGTAAATGTTGAGTTTGAATCCTGGCAACGACAACATGACAGGAGGGTGACGCAGCAACTGAAGTTCTGTTACTGTAACTGATTTAATTCAGATTAAACAGGCTAACCAATCAGGTGGTTGGAAATCAAAAACAGAGTTGAATTACATTAAGAAAAGTGAAAAACAGCAGCTCTTGTTTTCAGCTGTCTTTTGTTCAACCTGTAAACCTAACCCTAACCCACTTCAGAGAATTTAGGGTCATTAAAGGTCATCACCTCCTCAAACCTGTGCGTCAGCAATCAAAACAAAGAAAACTGAGCTTGTTATATCTTAAGTAGTCTTCATGCACACAGCTCATCAGGGTTAAATCAAATCTGTCTAACCCTTCATGTATGAACATACAGAAATGAACGGTGCAACGATAAAACAAACAAACAAACAAACCCCAAACTGTTTCTGCTGCGATGGAGAAAAAAACAGAAACACTTAGGTTCAGATAACATAAAAAAAAACAAAAAAAAAAAAAAACATTGTTATTTTCTCTTCAGTGTTAACGAAATAAAAAACGGGACTGAGAGCAGGATCATAATGTTAGCAAACATATCAGCGAGCTAGCACAGTCAGGCTAAGTGAATAAACCGGAGTCTGCTGATACTGCACGATAACCTCACCTCAGGATTCAAAACATTTTTTATTTAAAGGGCAAAACTAAATTGAAGGTCGTCTGATTTCGTTGGCTTTCAAGCGTCATCATTTATTACTTTTAGGACTTCAACAGAGAAACATCTGTGAGGGTGACGAATATTTCTGTATGCATGTTTCTTATCTTTGATTTCCTTTTTTCACCGTTCATGCAGTATTAACAGATCATGATGTTCTGGCTCAGTTGTACATTTCTGACCACAGATGTTGCAGGTTTCTCAGTTTTGCTGAAGCACACTGAAGCCAGTGAGTGACCTAAACCAATGGGAGCAGTCGGCAGGTTGTTTAGGGCCTGAAATGTTTTGTTTCTTTTATCCATGAGTAAGTCATTTCAAACTGATATTTCACTTCTAAGTATCTCATTGTTTAAGGATAAGGAAGGGTGAACAATGCAGATAACCATCGTACACACTCTGAGTCATGACTGACTTTGCAGGCTCACATTGCAGAATTATAAATC